ACGGCCGTGCCCCGGGCCACAGTCACGACGTGAACTAAGTGCTGGGTGGAGCCCCGTCTAGGCACTACCTACTCGATGGAACCATCATCCTCTCCCTCGAATGTCACGGGGCAACCTAATGGCTGCCAGCCACCTCGAAAACGGCGCCAGTTTTGAAATGGTCTCGCGACCGCTTCGTTACAAACTTCACCGGCTTCCCTCGTTTTGGCCAACTTCCCACTTGCTGCGGGCTATCCTTGCTTTTTCAGTTTAGTCACCAATCCATGATGTGGTACATAACGGTTTAAGTAGCGTGGTATATAGCAATTCTTTGAAAGAATTTCGCAAAATTATAAATTGTCTTGGCAATGGTCTGGCTACAGAGTAGTTTAATAAATAATTTTCATCTTACAAGAGACTGAACGTCTTAATCGGTAACCTAAGCGTGATGACGAGGTGACAATGTTATGTATGGGGTGATATGTATAATAAAATTTCATGAAAAATGCAACGAAGGTTGGAGATTACGTCGAAATGAATCCATTTGTCAAATCCTGTACACCTGTCTTAAATGTAATGATCGGTATTTGATGAAAGCCAAGTTATATTCCTCCACAGGAACCACACCCTTCGTGAATTTCCATTCCAGATTCATCAACTTCGTGCTTTTGAAGATACACATATCTTGCATCTGTATCTCGTACTTGATCGTTCTTCCATATCATAATGTTGATCCATTGATATCAACAATAATTTTCACTATAATTTTAAACTATTTACACTGCATCGCCTGCAACAGTTGAAACATTCGTTATACGTTTGAAGATCTGTTACGCAATCTAAAAACTAAAGAGCAATTTCTAATTTGGAATTTCCAAACGTATCGTCTGAAGTGGCGTCATCCTCCGGCAGATCTACCCTCGTTCCGCCTTTAGAAGAGAAAGCAAAGTCGCGCGAACGTTCCCAGCCACACAGGTAGCACGATTTATCCACATAATTTTTCCTTGAAAAACGAAAACAAACGGTGCGAAAATGGAAGAATACCGAATGAGAAAAAAAGAAGGGCGCAGGAGGAGAAAAAGAAAAAGCGTAGCTGGTACAAGCACTTTTCAGTCGATCGGGCTTCGCCGGATATTTTTTCACGTCCGTTTGCCCGTTTCAATCCCCTGTTCGAGGCCGCTCCTCATCCATCTGCCTACCGATATTCGTCCGGGGCCATATCTCCCGGCCACTTTTCAATTTCGTCGGACGAATTTCCAGTGCCTCTCTCTTTGCCTGCAACTAGCACGCGTCTCTCAATCTACACGGCCAATTCTCCAGAGCATAAATCCGGCAACTTTTTATTATTTAACGTTCTGTTCTTTTTATTCGAGGGTGGCCTCGTGGTACGTATCAAATGTTGACGCGAAGCAGAGAAAGGGGATGAAAGCTGGACGAAACGAAATTTCTAACCTGACCATCCGTGGACACTCTCTACCCCCATGAGGATACTGCACAGCAGCGTCATCGGGATATACAGGCTAATTGCGAGAATGTTTTGTTGGCCTGTCGCAACTCGAGACCATCTCCCCTTACAAGGTTTTGCATTTAGCCTTTCCGTATCGACGACACGTACAGCACGAAACTCCGCGGAACCAGCTGGGAACCTGCTACCCCCGACGACCCTGACTAACTTCGCTTTAACGCGCTAATAGACGGCCCTGTAACACGGTGAAAGTTGCTTTGCCGCAGTCTCAGTCTTGGCTGACAACGCCAAGGAAACAGTAGATTGATCGCTATCGCGAGAAAAGTTGGGCGAACAGGGTTCATTCTACAAAGTAGTTAGCATCTGATGGTCTAGTACTTCTATACATAGCAATTCATTTCTTGAAGAATTCAAATACCTTTGAACGTTTAGAACCATCACGTCAAAGTTTAAGTAGCTTTACTAAATATCATAGCTTTTATATCAAGTCTTACTAAATGTACAATTACTTGAAAACAAGATGAAGGACTAAAGGATCCAATTAAGATCAGCTTTTACTGATCAACAAAGGACAGCTTTACTAAATATCATAGCGTTTTTATCAAGCCTTGCTAAATGTAGAATTCCTTGAAAACAAAAAAGATTCAATTAAGATCACCTTTTGCTAATCAACAAAGGACAGCTTTACTAAAGTAGCTTTACTAAATATCATAACGTTTTTATCAAGTTCTATTAAATGTACAATTACTTGAAAACAAGGTGAAGGACTAAAAGATCCAATTAAGATCACCTTTTACTAATCAACAAAGGACAGCTTTACTAAAGTAGCTTTACTAAATATCATAACGTTTTTATCAAGTTCTATTAAATGTACAATTACTTGAAAACAAGGTGAAGGACTAAAAGATCCAATTAAGATCACCTTTTACTAATCAACAAAGGACAGCTTTACTAAAGTAGCTTTACTAAATATCATAACGTTTTTATCAAGTTCTATTAAATGTACAATTACTTGAAAACAAGGTGAAGGACTAAAAGATCCAATTAAGATCACCTTTTACTAATCAACAAAGGACAGCTTTACTAAAGTAGCTTTACTAAATATCATAACGTTTTTATCAAGTTCTATTAAATGTACAATTACTTGAAAACAAGGTGAAGGACTAAAAGATCCAATTAAGATCACCTTTTACTAATCAACAAAGGACAGCTTTACTAAGGTAGCTTTATTAAATATTACAACGTTTTTATTAAGTCTTATTAAATGTAGAATTACTTGAAAGCAAGATGAAGGACTAAAGGATCCAATTAAGATTACCTTTTAGTAATCAACAAAGGACAGCTTTACTAAATATCATAGCGTTTTTATCAAGCCTTGCTAAATGTAGAATTCCTTGAAAACAAAAAAGATTCAATTAAGATCACCTTTTGCTAATCAACAAAGGACAGCTTTACTAAAGTAGCTTTACTAAATATCATAACGTTTTTATTAAGTCTTACTAAATGTACAATTACTTGAAAACAAGATGAAGGACTAAAGGATCCAATTAAGATCAGCTTTTACTGATCAACAAAGGACAGCTTTACTAAATATCATAGCGTTTTTATCAAGCCTTGCTAAATGTAGAATTCCTTGAAAACAAAAAAGATTCAATTAAGATCACCTTTTGCTAATCAACAAAGGACAGCTTTACTAAAGTAGCTTTACTAAATATCATAACGTTTTTATCAAGTTCTATTAAATGTACAATTACTTGAAAACAAGGTGAAGGACTAAAAGATCCAATTAAGATCACCTTTTACTAATCAACAAAGGACAGCTTTACTAAAGTAGCTTTATTAAATATCATAGCGTTTTTATTAAGTCTTATTAAATGTACAATTACTTGAAAACAAGGTGAAGGACTAAAGGATCCAATTAAGATCAGCTTTCACTAATCAACAAAGGACAGCTTTACTAAATATCATAGCGTTTTTATCAAGTCTTGCTAAATGTAGAATTCCTTGAAAACAAAAAAGATCCAATTAAGATCACCTTTTACTAATCAACAAAGGACAGCTTTACTAAAGTAGCTTTACTAAATATCATAGCGTTTTTATTAAATCTTATTAAATGTAGAATTACTTGAAAACAAGGTGAAGGACTAAAAGATCCAATTAAGATCACCTTTTACTAATCAACAAAGGACAGCTTTACTAAAGTAGCTTTATTAAATATCATAGCGTTTTTATTAAGTCTTATTAAATGTAGAATTACTTGAAAACAAGGTGAAGGACTAAGAGATCCAATTAAGATCAGCTTTCACTAATCAACAAAGGACAGCTTTACCAAAGTAGCTTTACTAAATATCATAACGTTTTTATCAAGTTCTATTAAATGTACAATTACTTGAAAACAAGGTGAAGGACTAAAAGATCTCCTTTTACTAATGAACAAGGGATATTGCATTAGAAAGAGAGGATCGTGTAGAAAATGAAAGCTGATGGAATAAACATAGAAGAAGCGGAAGCTTTGTGCTCGTTCGAAATATAATTCTCGCGGCGTGCACCAGTCTGGTGGACGCGCGCGTCGATTGATTCGTTAATTAAGTCGTGGAAATACTTTTGCACGCATGCGACAGGACGTATTAATCGTCGAACGCCGGAGGTCATATATTGTTTGTGACGCTTTAGACGCGAACATTGATTGCGAGAGAGACGCCGGCGTCGGTCGGCGGTTTGCAGAGGAGAGACGCTGCTCGGGGGAGCACCGCCGTGTCCCGGGGTAGGAAAGGAAGGAGAGGGAGCGGCGATATTATTGATTTATGTCCCGTTCTACGTTATGTATTCTAGCTCCTCCACACCGGTGCCGAATGATCCGAGGCAAGTGCCACCGTTTTCCTCGCACTCAGCCTTCGACTTTGAATATTTCACACACGTTTATCTCATTCCGCCAAGTACAACTTTTGCTTTAACGACAGTCCTGTTTCCCTCTAAACTTGCTTAAAAATATTATTTCAATTGGGAACATTTATTCTAATAGGAATACCAAGGATCCATTTTACAATCCTAAAGATGAACATTGGTATAGTTTGGTCAGACGATTAATGTAAGAAAATTAATTGTCAATGGGCTCATTCAGGAGGAATGTATTTTCTATCCAAATAATTAGACTACTAAATTTGCACTAATTTGTAAATATAGAAATTCTTCTTCTTTAAGAGCCATTAGCTGAACTGTCAATTCTAAATTACAATATTAAAGAAGGAACTATAAAAAGGCTTCTATAATCGCAGTTATATAATTAGATCAATGAGGGAAGATAAGGAAAAACGTCTTAACTAAAGATATCTACTATGTGAGCCCAAAGAATAATGAAATCTAACGAACAACTTTACATTCCACTTATCCGCTATATCGACACGTGTACCGAAAACTTCATTTATACTCAGTCGAGCGCTATATCCTGGACGAAGATCGGAATTACCGGAATCGATATAAGCAATCGTAAATCCGCGACACAAAGTCCCATCGGAGGGCAACAAGAAAATCGCAAACGATCATCGTTACTACAAACGTCACGAAAGTGGCGATCACGTACGCTGATGGAGGGAAGCGACCAACAGGGATATCAATTATCTTCTATGCGAATTACAGTTACGGGAAACACTATGCTGGTGGGGGTAACGGTGGAAGTTGTGCGTGCCGGAAGTTAGGCTGCGCTCGGCTAGGGGCAGAGAGTACGAAGATAGAGGCAAGAAGGGTGGTAAAGAGAGAAAGAGAGTAAAAGGAAGAGAGGGATCTGTGAACGAGAAGCGCCGAAAATTGATGCATTCCCTATGCAAAACAGCAGAAGCACGGCGCTAGTAGTAGCTGGACAACACGCAACCGAGAATCCTCTACGGTCTCTCTCCATGGCATACTCTCTCCTCGTCTCTCTTTCTCACCGCTCGTCCGTCTCGCCTTCTACCACCATCAGCGGCTCCGTCACCTACGTCCTGAACAGAATCGAGAGCGGTATAGGAGCAATTAACACTCTATTAACACTAACGACGCTCATACATAACAACGGTGCCGCAGGGATTGAATTTATGGTCTGTTAATGGGGGTTACTTTATGCGTTATGCAGTCGTACGCGCGTCACGACGCCTGAACGGCCTCGCGTAAATTTCGCGACGCCTGCCGCGCGCGGTTTTCTTCCTGCGCCAGAGGTGACACGTGGAACGCCCCGATCTGTGCGTCGGACCCGCTTCTTGCAGATTTTTCCTCGATAGCGGTAACTGTAATCCTCGTGGGTCTGTCTGAATGTTTTACACGTCGAAATATTCTCCAATGAGGGTAAGATAAATAAAAGATAAATCTGAAATAATAGATTAAAGAGTAAACTCTGCTGATTAAAAAATCAATAAACCTAAGTACATCCTAATAGCACGAGTAATAATAAATATCGGGCAAATATGAATACGCAGTAATTAAGATTATTCATTAATTTACCAAATTTATGAAAACCACTGGTCACAGGTTCGTGCACCCTCGATGACTCGGTTTAAAACTCAGTGTAATCATCAGCAGGCAATTTCCATTCCCAAGCGGTGTCTGATTCGGTTGTAGGATACTGGGAAAGGGTGAAAGAGGAAACAGGTGTACGCGTAATCTCTCTTCGGCGAAACGCGAGTAAACAAGAAAGTTAGAGGGGCTCACCGTTCGTCGAGTGCGGCGGAGTCGAGTGCCAAAGTTCATCGTGAGATCCTGCCCTCCTCGCGGCTAAAGGAGACGCGGCAAGGCCGGTAAAGTGATAAAGCGGCCATAAATTCTGACCGCCATCCTCCCGCCGAGCCCCTCTATCTTGCCGGCTCTTCACTCGACCGCCTCACACTTCTCCCCCTCTTCGTCCGTCGTATCCGTCTGTCTCTTTCTTTTCCGTCCTTTCCATCTTCCTTCTTCTTCGCCCCCCACCCTTCTACGTTGCAACCTGGATGCACCTGCAACAACGGAATTGGCAAAGGTCAGCACGTGCATTTCCTCCTCTTACGTTACGGACGCTCTTTAATACTCACTCGATGACGATTCTGTTTCACGTGCTTGATAATGTTCAGGAGTTGGCGAGACAGCGTTGTGAATGGTCGAAAGTGGGAATTATTCAGTTCAATTTACTTTGACAATTCATTGTTGATATTTTAAACGTACCGAGTGCATGTTTTAAGATTCTGTTTAGTTCTTTATTTTATTTCTCGTTTGTTTGTTACGCAGAGTTAATTAGACGAATGAATACTTACCGTTAGGTACTGTTCTTTGAAACAGATTTCTTACGTTCAGTGGATGTCAGTTCGTCAAGCAGATCTGGATAGTCTAATGACCTAGCGGCGAGTTGATACGAGCGACTCTACTGGCAGAACGTCCTTGACCATAAATAACGAAGGGAGGCAAACCGTCAATTGACCTGACAGACGTTCGAGTCGACACGCTTGTTTGATCTTCACCCACTTCTCGATTGCACTCATAACTCAAGAACGACTGCATCGAGCCTTCGAATTTCCACTTACGTATATACATAGTTTGGCGTCTAGCAGCTGGATCAAATTATTTCACCGTGCTATATCAAATATCAACAAAGCTGGAACTGCAGAAGCTGGGCGAGGTAATCTTCGTCGAAAATTTCATTAGCGGATCGAACGAAAGAGCGATGGAGTAAAGCAGCGCTGAAATAGGAAGGGGAAATTAGGTCAGGCAAAGACACATGGAATTCCACGTGGACAAAGCGAGAATAGAGACATCTATACGACGTATAGAAGAAATCCGCGGGCTGTTACTGCTGCAGTTGGGCGAAATGTCGAAATCCAATATCGCGGTGTTCCAGGCGTACCGGCCTCCTAGAAGCTAGGCACACGGTATGTTCGTTGCAGCGCAGGGGCGAACAGACAGAAATCCCAATAAATCATCCCGTCACGAGCCGTGAGCCAAGGCGGAGCCTCTTGCCTCGTATTAGCCAATAATAATCCTCTCCGAGGTGGAGGCCATCTTGGATTATACAATGGTTCCTTCCGCCACAATTCGTATAAATGCAACCTTCGGGTTACCGGGCAACCTTTTCGAAGGGTCCCAGTGGCGTAGCGGCGAACCGCCGATATTTTCGTTCGACCGTGAAAGACGTCCAGCCGATCGACCCGAATTCGAACATCGTTCCGGCACCACCTTGCCAAATACGTCACATGCCACGAATTAGAGCTACGTATGGTTATCAATCATCGGAATTCGAGATCACCCTCCGGCGATGATTATCCGATCGTTCTAATTTCAATTTAATTACAACGAGGGACATTAGTTAATACGATCGTCGAACTCGTCTCTATATCTTATCGTGATTTGGTGTATCGTTTAAGTTACGAGATATATGGCTGATGAATTTAATGACGTCTCATGATGATTATTAAGGCGTTGTAAAATGACAGATGGTAATTATAGCTATTTGTCTGCCATATTCCAAGATACAATGATCATGAACACGGTCTCGAACTTTAAAACCAGTAGCGTAATTATATACTCGCTGCTGACATTAAAATAAAACAATCGATGAAGTTCTATCAATCGGTTAATTAATGGAAAAGAGAGAAAGGACGATGCACGCACGAAGGTACGATGAATCTCGCGAAGCCGGGTCGAACGATCCCAAGCAACAGTCCACGTGACTGCTTTCAACCACGTATATTCGATCGATAAAGTTCGGTCGGACGTAGAAACGAAAGTTGAAGGAGAGAAAACCATACACATCCCGGATGATCCGTGTTTGCCCGAAAACCGAGCTTCACACTCTCTTTGATTTTCATATTCAACCACAATTTATTTCTCGATTTCAAACACAGCTATTATAATTAATATAATTATTATTAATATGGACAGACTCTTATATAATATAATACAATACGGTTTAGACTTGTCGACATGATAGCGTATAATACTATTATCGTTTCCCATCGTCATCGTCGCTGTCATTACTCATAATACATAGTTCATTCGCGTGCATATCGTTCGTCATTGCAATCGTATCGTTATTATCGTAATCGTCGTCACCATCATCGCCATCATTATCGCCGTCATCGTCGTCATCGTCGTCATCGTCGTTATCATCATCGTTATCATTTATAATCAACATCGTTCGCTGACATACATTTTTTTTTCTCTCATGTGTACATTTAGTTTACATAATGCAGGACACTACAAAATAATTATATACGTTTATCGTAATTCGTAATACTATTATATTTATATTTATATTTATATTTCATATTTATATTTAAATATATATAATTTATATATATATATATATATATAGATTTATTTTATTTATATCATCTTTTCCACTTATACTTCGGTAAAGTGGCGTTGCCTACATATTTTTCGGCCTGTAGGCGCACCCCTATCTAAATGTGTTTCTCTTTTTTTCTTCCGCATCGCGCGTACCCGCTTCAAACGAATGCGTTGTACCCGGTCTTTTTTGTGTGTTGGGCGTGTACTGCTGCGTATGTGTGTACGTGCGTCCGTGCGCGGTTGTTGTGTGTGTACGTGTGTAATATGTTCTTGTACAATATAACATGTACATGAATGTTCCACCGGTTCGGTCGGAGCAATGTGTCCACGTAACACTGATGGCTCGAGTGTGCAGTCGATGTAGCGAAAAAGAAGATGATGTACATAATTCCAGTACTACGATATCTTAAGCTGTATTCATAAAATCGCATTGGTACGAGCTACTTGCACGGATGAATCTGTGAATATAGGTATCCGTAAGTATCGATATCTATAAATACAGATAATGATAGAGAGAAGTCTACAAATGTGGAATAGATATCTAGAAAATGCGATGTTCATCGTTTTTCGAGATTTTATTGAAAACAAAGCATAAGAGCTCTACACACTGGAGCGATCACAAGTACATACATCTGGGGACGACAACGTGGCAGCTCTTAATAATATTGTCATCCTTTTACTCTATTTTCCTCGTCACGGTTACAGGCAATCAGACCATCGGAGGTGGTCGAATCGTCCGTATGCCATGGCGTTGCTCGTATATCGTTACAGTACCGTATCAATAAATAGTAATTAATTAGTTCTCTGCTACCATTACTTTGTAATCCTTTTAGTCTATTAAACAGGTACCTACTTTACCTACGCGGTATCGTATACAGTGGTCGCGGCTCGCGATTCAATGCCACGACGTCAGACGTCGCCTTTCACATTGCCCCGCCGATAAAAAAAACCTCGTCGATGCGTCCATTTCGTTCGCGTGGAATTATTTACAATGCTTCTCTTGTAACAGCGTGGCCCGTGACACAGGACTTACATCGCCGCGTTTCAACAAAAATCGCACCACCCTCGATAAGTACTATTGTTCTTATTTTTCTTCCCCGATAGAATTTTTTTTAGAAGTAAAAAAACCTTGAATCAATTCTCCAAATGACGACCTCGAGATGCGCGAAATTCTATTCGTAGCACACGAACCTCGCAATACTATTTTAATCGGATACGTTTTAAACTGTTATCGTGTAAAACAACGTTTTCGTAGCGTGTTACCGGGTCTATCAGTCTTCACACAGCGGAATTATTATGAATGAGACCGCGCGTTCTAGGAAACTTTTCGTTGAATTGGAAAAACATTTTTCTGAAACAATGACGACGACTTTTCAAATTGCAGCCGGAAAAATCAATACCCGTTACTTTACAATTACCTGTATATTTACAAATGCAATGAATGTATAGTGAGCGAGTCGTCGAGCCAGATTTTTAAACGCGACATCTAATTCAGACATCTTTATTCAGACGATACGACGCTGGGCGAAAGCGTAAGTACTCAACTTCTATACAACGATCATTTTCAAAAATAAAACCAATAGAAAAACACCGATTAAAGCGACGTAATTAAACAGAAGTCTAAGGATATCACGGCGTGTATGTCCTTATCGAGCGTAGCAAATTTTCCTCTATTTTACCGATATGAAGTAGTGAATCCATTTTTAATTGTGTTTTCGTTTTGGCTGTCAGTCCATTTTTTTTTTTTTTTATGTTTTCGTTTGTATCGTATAAAAGACGGTTAATTGAATTGTACAGCATGATGAACGTTTTTAAGTTACAGCACTCGGAGTAATGGATTTCGCTTTGACTGAAGTAGAGAGGCGATGGACTACCCTTCCTTTTTCTCTTTACATATTTTGATAGATATACAGTACCTAGAAAGGTATACGAAACTAACGACACCTGTCTGGAGACTGACAGGTAGTCAGGAACTCTTCGGCGCATGGGCGTGCGAGGACGTGGTTTATAATTATTTGCCAATTGTAATATAGTTTTTCGTACCGAACTGCTTAAGAACATTGTAAGCCAGTGGAAGAATGAGCTTCAAAATATGTAATAAATATATCCAACAGTATCCCTCGTACTATCGTAAGTATATACATTGAAAGTCGAATTTCACAAGTTAATATCATATTAAAACAATAACAACGATTGTTTAGAGCGTACCTATAGATTTTTATTGAATCACGCACGATATATGTAGTAAAAAATATTTATTGGGCGATTATTGGAAACAAAAGAAAATCCATTTTGCTACACGCAATATGGTAACAATAAATATTACGCGGTACTACTACATTAATATGGAGGATACCAAAAGCTGCTTATTTCTTGTCAAGCGTTTTAAATCCTTTATCCGATAGGTGGTGTCTGCGAGCTCCCCAAATAGACACTGACTATATACACGATCGCAAACCCCACGCTAGTTACTTAATTGCGCATTGCCCATGGTACATAGAACGGCGACCGAAAGTACTTTTTCGACCAGATGTTTCTTTAGTTTTTTCCATGACCACCGCCCCCGCCCGCTGCAACCGATATGCCCGTTTCCTTAATTCTATTTAATTATCATCTTAAGACTTAGGCTTTAGACGTTAACCTTATCGATTAAGCGCTAGCTTAGTGACTCACTTCGTACGTACGCACATGTTGCTATCGTTATTTTTCTCTTCCTCCTAACTTCACTCCCTTCCCACTTAATCCTCTTGCCTCTTCGCTTTACCTCTACACACAATCACGGTACTCTCGCATCTTTCTTCTCTTTCTTTCTTTTTCACTCTTCTTTAAATTACGTATATCTGTTTAATTTTTACGCGACTATATAAGAGTAAAGATAAAATATATAATTTGCATTTTACACATTCCAGTTAACGCTAGGAATTCACTTTTCCGCCTTAGCTCTCTTTTTTTGCCGCATTTATACATATATATTTACTCTATATAAGTAGTAGTGTGTGTTCGCTATCCGATGGATACAAAATTTTCACTTTAAGCTAAACTGGCGTTCACGGCGATCGCTCGCGGCATGTAACAAACTTCATAACGTCCACTGATTTTCTTCTTTTTTTTTCTTTTTAGAAAAATCTTTGTGTTTATCCCTTTCGTCCAAAATTGCATTTTATCTAAACGACGGGTGATTAAATAAATATAGAACTCTGAGTAACGCGTGCGTTAAACGGTGACGCGTAATTATTGCACAATTCTGTTTTTCCACGTGTCACGAATGATCGTTGGCAAGAGAAATACCGGTGATAAATTTACCAATAAAGACCAAACAAATTTTTCTTGTTCCTACACACCCAACAGGACCTTGAATAAGCAAGAACGGTAATAAGAAAATTTCTGATCGATTGATTTGACCTACTGCTATGAACATATGCTCTGCCATGAATTGAGACACAACAATGTGAACGTGTTTTTGCCAATCAACTAAACATTCAACGAGAATTAATGTAGCTAACCTATGTAGTGCCCGGCGAGAAGCCCCTGCGAAAACGGTTTGTCAAGCAGGCATTTATGCGTGAAATTTCGCCTGCACTGTTGACCACCGTGTCGTAACAGTTGATACTATGATGCAAGAGTAATAAATACCTCCTTTGTCTCGAAAGCCGCACCCTACGCTTCAATGTCGGCCATTACCTGGCCTACATAGATGGTATCACTGATTAATGCAGTCAGAATTAACACATGTCTCACTTATCTACCGCGAAACGCGCAAAAACAATATCCCAATCGTATAAGATTAATCGATTTATCGCAAACATTGTGATCAACAACACAGAAGGAGACACTTTATTTTTCGACAAGAAAGGGAAAAAATTTGCTAACCAACGTGACGTGCGAGTCGAAAACTGAATCGAATGACAAAGAACAACTAATCGATATCGATGTCGATCGACAGACAGAGCTACTGGTGAGAAGATGGCGAAACAAAAATATTCATGGTTGACAGTTGGATGTACATATGCAATAAATACATGTTTTGGAAATATTTAATGATTAAACAAACGAAGCGTGACAGTTTGCGTTAAACGCAATAACAAACATAATACAAAAAGTATATATAAGTATCTTTTTATAAATAACTTTCGATGTAAAGGTTAAAACAAAGATAATCCTATCCTAACCCGCAAAATTATACGACTACCTGACCTGGACATAATCGAACAATGAAATGACATAAAGGTAAAAACGATATGCCAATAATCCGAGGTAAATAGATCGGAACAAGAATCAAAGATTTGTTATTTATCGCCGGTGTTCCTCTTTCGTTAAAACTTTCACGAAAACCCATATACCGACAACGACGCGGAGGCCCTCAACGGGCTATCGAGCTTAATTGACGCCAATTTGCCCAAGCAATTTAGAATCACGACCTCTGACCGTAAACATACGGGTTTCGACGCTTCCCCCCGAAAAAAGAACAACTGTCCGCAAAAGACAGCGAGCGATCGTCGACGATCTTCCGTTTTTCACAGTTCGTTGCTCCTCAAGGACAAAAAGTTATATATAAATAAATCTCTGGAGAAAGAAAGGCCGGCCGGTGCCCAATCGATGCGCGTGCGCGAGCTGGACCATGTATTACGTATATCAGTTTCATATATCTCCGATTTTTTTCCATTTTTTTCTTTTTCATGATCATCGTTTCTCCTTTTTATTTTTGCCCATTAATGCGAGGACGGGCCGGAAGAAAGTTCGCGGGACATCGTTTCGCGTCCCACGGGAACATTCTTCGAACCCGTGCGATCTACATGTAAACGAGATTTCGCGAAATCCCCAGATTATTTCCTCCTATGTACATTTATATTCTTCTTTACCTTCCCCCTCTCTTTTTTTATCGTTTTCTGTTTTTGTCCATTTCATTTAAATACCGCCGTATTTCATCGTCGTCATCGTTTATACATTATTACGTATTCGTTAATTATCGTTTATTACGTATATCATTAAATTGCGTGTATACAAGGTATAAACTAAATTATGTCGATCTAAGTTTTACAACACAGCACAAGAATTCGCCGCGGCAGAGTTCTCCGACGTGTCCTCGGCCCGATAGATAGACACGATGATGTCATCGGCCAGGTCACGATCCGGCGTTATCGATCCGTCATCGATCGCAAGCATTTTTATCGACCGGCCCGGACAGATGGTGCGTTTGGCCACTGCTTGGCACACTTAACGCAGTTTCTATGGGCGCGAACATTTGAATAGACTTCGTTTTACATTTCAACAAACATGCAAGGAAAGAAAACCAGGGCCACAGTGGACATGCGTTCAAACATGTGACTAGTGACCGTGCATTAATGACAATACTAAAAGGATAAAATCTGCTAAATTTCATTTGAAAATCTTTTTACTTGCTTGCAAATAAATGAAGAAGCCATTTTGATTTTGTATCTTTGTTTCAGGCGAATAATTTCTCCAGATATGCACGAATAAAAATTTTGATCGAACATATAATAAACTGGAACAGTACGGCCTTTCGAAGAAACTACGAATATGCTGTTGAATTTTCATTTCTACTCTTTTTGAATATCTTTTTTACTCGAAAGAGAGATGGATGCTTTGAACTATGAGCGGATCAGGATAGCGTTTTCGATCGACAGCTCTGCTTCCTAGAATCGCTGTTAAGGTGCCAAGCGGTTTCATGCCGAAAGCATCCTATTCCAAAAATATGTTACGAATTACATCACTTGGTAACTTGGCCTCGTATCTCGCGGAGCAGTATTAAATTTTTAATGGTCACTCGCCCCTGAAGATCCCTCGAATTTTGGTTCTATCAAGGATCTATCTGATAAGAGTTAGATTTTTTCACCGTTGCTTCGAATATTTACAAGGCGAACGCAAATACTGTTGCGTAAATACGCAAAACGTTTTTTTTTTTTTTTAAATACTTGGACGCGTCATCTACGTTGACGAAAGGTGTTTGCAACAAAATGCGCGATTTTCTTAAGTATACCGTAATATATTCGAACAGTAAACATTATAAATCTCTCCTCTAAATCGAAATGCAGTTTGTATCTTGGACATAAGAAAAGTAGCAAAAAGTATATTTATAACAAGAAAGCTAATTTGTCTGTTGACACAATCGGTCCGGACTGTTGGGAAACACCTTTTTACTCAAGTAGCCGCGGTATTTTTGCTTGCGAAAAAAAAAATCTATAATTATAATACACAGCGATATATTACCCGTAATCTTTTAGCTACGCGCCCGACGAGAATAAACAAAGATGGTTCATTTTGACATGTTCTTCAAGCAGTATACGATCGAAAGAATAAACTCGAGATAATAATTGTAAATAAACGGTTGGAAGAAAATGACGGAATACTTAAAGAGGAGAAGATTGGAACAACGATGAGACAAAAACATACATACACGAAAGTGCAAGTAAGCATAGAATGTTTTAACTGACCTTACGACGACACTGATGAAGAAATGTCAAGTCGATTCGATTCTGTCTGCTCCGGCGGAGGCCACCGCACTCCTAACAGCACTGTTTTCATTCATTCGATCAGCACACTTTCCGCAGAAAAGGATCCCCCGTTTCGTTCGACGTATTCGCGATTCGCCAAGACTACTGGCAAATCGATCGATCACCACCGTAATATCACTGGAATTTAACGGATTGCGTTACAAGCACACACTGGTATTTCACTGGCTTCACGACAACGTAATCGAATATCGCATCGATGTTCAACCCCTTCGCTCCATCCTCTCTGTTCGATCCATTCGCAACCTCGTTCTCTAACCAGAGATAACGTTAAGTGTGCAGCCGTTCTACCGGAACTTCCTCCGCATTCCGTGCTCTCTTCATCTCCGCATTTCCATATCGAATCCTGCCGGCACTGGAGAAACACACATTCGAAGATCACACTTGGCACGTTCGCGATTACTAAATAACCCTCGCTGAGCCACCGCGGTATTATAGAGAAAAACCTATCTAAACGATCTTCTAAAGAACACTAAACCGTTCATCTACTCGCTAAATAGAGACACGACTGGACGACCGTCCACTTTTTCCGCTAGTTTTCTTTCATTTTACCACCTAATCGCGCTACGAACTCTACGCGTGTACGACGTGTAAGAGAATAAATAATAAAACGTTTTCCTAACGGATAATTTCTTTTCCACGCGAATACAACGTTTAATCCATGAAACCATCGCTCGCTCGCTCGCTCGCTCGCTCGCTCGCTCGTCATTCTCATTCGCTCGCTAAAATTTCCATACCACGCGTTTTCGCTCTCTTTGCTTTTTTTTTTTATATATATTATATATATTTATATGTATATATATATACACATATATATACACACGCATATATATATATATATATATATCACTTTAGACGTTTTCACAGGCGCTCATTCATACTCTACTATACAATTACAAGGACCGACTCGCAACTTTCATGACACTCGCGTTTTAAAGTACGTATATTTGTTCCTCTCCTTTCTCGCTCATTCTCGCTCTCTTTTCCACACACACGCACACATACACATTCTCTCTCTCTCTCTCTCTCTCTGTCGTTCTTTCTCTGCCAAATTATCTCTAGCATTATAGGCTTTAGTACAATTACATTCGATTAAATGTAATAGAGGTTAACGCGGTTCTGATTAGCATGTGATCCAGTTTTCCTCCGATCCGATCCAATTCCTTTGCCTCTTCTCCGTTTTCTTCGACATTCCACCACGTGATTATTAGAAGATCGCGCGTCCCTATAAATCTTCATCCGACTCGTTCGTGTGTCCGGTTCTTCCCTTTCCTTTCCTTTTCCTTCCTTTCGCTCCGTTCCATGTCCCCACCTGCTCCTTCTTCCACTCGAACCTCCTCGTCTTATCTCTCGCATTCCCTTCCCTCTCCCTTTCTCTCTCTGTCTGTCTCTCGCGCGCGCGCAATCTCGCTCCTTATCCTTTCATCCCTTTGTCATCGTTCCGTTCACGTCTTCACTTCTATCCACACTGTCGGCAACGTCCATTTCTCTTCCACGATCGTCTCTCTACTATCCCGTTTATCCCTCTTACGTTGTCCTCTCCTTTTTTGGTACGAGCAACTTGATTAACACGAC